AATTTGCGGAGATTTTAATCACATATGGGACCCCAATTCGATACCACGCTATCACAGTATAGCCATATACAGCACCCACTGAAATGACAATGCAAGGCCCTACAAAAACTTATAAATGAGCATCACTTCTATGATGCATGGCGAATCACACACCCGGGGGAGAAAGCATTTACTAATTTTTCCAACGTCCACAACTCCTATTCCAGGATAGATAGTTTCCTCATCTTGGAACCACACTTAAACCAAATCCAACACTGCGACATAAAACAAATCACATGTTCAGACCATGCACCAGTGATCCTTGACATGAAAAACATGTATGATTTTAAAAACCGCAGCCCCTGGAAGCTTAACAATACACTACTACAAAACAAAGAGTATACAGAGAAACTCAAAGAGGACCTTCAATCCTATTTTACTCTGAACGATAATGGAGAAGTGACTCCAGCAACAGTTTGGCAGGCACACAAAACAGTGGTAAGGGGCCTGCTAATCAGGAGGGCAGCATACATCAAGAAACTCGCACAAAACAAACTAAAAAAATGGCAACAGGAATTATATGACCTGAATACACAAAACCAAATACAACTGACAGACAACAGGAAACGCCGCATCCTGCATATCTCTAGTTAAATGCACCAACAAGCACTGGAACAAACACAAGCTAACATGACCAAACTTAAAATATCCCACTATATAAAGGGAAACAAAGCGAGTAAGCTCCTGGAAAACCAACTTAAACAGGAACAGTCCAATCAAAAAATCGCTCACATGTTAGACAACAAGGGCCAAAAACGCACTACACCCAGAGAAATAAGTGAAGAATTCGACAAATACTATTATAACCTCTATAATCTGAAGGAGGACAAAAACACAATTCAGCCCACTGACACAAGCATAGAGACCTACCTAGACAAAATACAGTTACCTACACTTGCACCACAACAGCAAACAGATCTAACTAAACCAATAGAACCACAGGAGATCATCAAAGTCATCCACACCCTACCAACAGGCAAATCACTAGGCCCAGATGGCCTAACAAATCTATGCTACAAGAAGTTCAGTCAAACCCTAGCACCTTATTTGGCAACAGCCTTTAACCATGCAATCACTGCAAAATCTCTACCGAAGGAGATGCTATTGGCCCACATTGTCACCCTGCCAAAACCCAACAGGCCCCCAACAGTTCCGCAAAACTTTAGACCCATATCGCTGTTAAACACAGACGTAAAATTGTTCGCCAAACTATGCGCTACAAGACTGGGACACATCATACCACACATAATACACAATGACCAGGTGGGCTTTGTGAGGGGGAGACAGGGGGCAGACAACACAAGAAAAGTCATAAACCTGCTACACAAACTTCAGACACCAGAGATGGGGGTTATATTTCTATCATTGGACGCTGAAAAAGCTTTTGATAGACTACACTGGGGTTTTTTGAAAGCAGTCCTATCACGGTTTGGAATTCACAAACAATTTGGCGCAGTGGTGGAGGTACTATACAGCTCGCCTGAGGCACAAGTGCTAAACTCAGGGTTCCTATCGGAGCCGTTTAGGCTCTCGAACGGAACAAGGCAGGGCTGCCCCCTGTCGTCACTACTATACATCCTAGCCATGGAAGTGCTAGCTACCCGCTTGAGGGACAACATGAACATACATGGAATAAAGCTGGGTAAACAAGAATACAAAGCAGGATTGTTTGCAGATGATGTCATGCTGACAATCACACAACCACAAATCTCATTGCCAAACCTCCTTGCGGAAATCAAGGAGTACGGAGACCAGTCGTACTATAAACTGAAAGTTACAAAAACACAAGCCATGGGGATAGGGATGACACATGCCACGATAAACCTTCTACGAGAAACATTTCACTTCGACTGGAGGGAGGACTACCTCACATTCCTGGGATTAAAACTACCAAAGCACCCTAGCAAACTCCTTGAGCTAAACTATGGCAGGCTATTGAAGGAGGCAGGAGACACATTGAAAGAATGGGAAAATAAATACCTGTCATGGGTGGGAAGACTGACAGCCTTAAAAATTATAATACTACCTAAATTCCAATACCTAATAAGAACACTGCAAATTTTCCTTCCAAACACATACTTGAACAAATTACAATGCACATTCACAAACTTCGTATGGGCACACAAAAAGATCCGAGTAGCTTCGGCAATTCTGAGGAAACCCATAAACAAGGGGGGATTGGGAATGCCAGGCGTGTGCCTACATTACAAGGCCACACTCATATCTACAGGTCTTCTTTTACACGCAGGAGGGGACAGACCTCAATGGGCAGAGATGGAGGCCGCAGGGGTGTGCCCGGGAAATATAAAATACATGTTCTGGGTACCTCATAAACTGAGGCCCAAGCACAACAAAATGCTTCCAACCACTTCAATCCTTTTAGAGACATGGGACTCAACGACACAACTCTTGGGCCTTAGACCACCGTCCATGGATACAGAAGGGATGCACATTAATTAAACATCTATATCACGAGGGCAAACTAGAGCAATATCCAACTCTACAACAAAAATATCAATTACCTAGTAGTATGCTATTCATATACCTACAAATATAGTCACTCCTAATGAACGAAACAGGTAGCACTACCCCAAAACCCCTGGAACAAATTCACAAAATATGTGAAACAGGGAACATACCGAAAAAAATAATATCCATTCTCTACGCAACACTAAATGACAACCCAAAGACACCCATAGCGGAAAAATTCAAGGAGCACTGGCATAGCGACCTACACAAACATTTCACTGAAACCCAGTGACAAAAAGCCTTCACTGCCCACAAAGGGAGACCCAGACGCGCATCACATCTGGAGCTCATGAGGAAACTGCAATACAGGTGGTACATGGTGCCGGGTTAGATTGGCAAACATATATCCCCAAACATCAAAACTGTGCTGGAGATGCAGACTAGAGGAGGGCACAAAGTACCACATATGGTGGACATGCGACCAGATAAAACCATACTGAGAAGAGGTAGAGGTAATTATTAACACTAAACACAGAACTACCACTACAACCAGAATGTGGATTTCTATTCATGACATTAGAGTCATATAGCAAACTACAAGCGATACTAATGTTTGATATTCTAATAGCAGCAAACACACTGATAGCAAGGGCTTCGAAACAAACCACAAGACCTGCAAAAGATGATCTACTAAACCAAATATCTACTAACCTGATGTATGAAACAAAGCTCACCACCCAATTCGGGGCATCCCCTTACAAACTAAGAGCTAGAGACAGGTGGGAAGAACGAAACGAGAAAGGACTAGAACCATTTAGACAAGCCGCTTCCGGAAGAGGGGCAGGTGTAAACAGGAGACAATGGTTAACGTAGGTCAACACTACATACACAGAGATCATCCCGGTGAGACACACATGAACACGGACTGAGAGAGTCATATGGAAAAATGAACCTATTATGTATATAGTTAAGTTATGATTATGTTTAGGTATTATGTATATAGTTAAGACAGGATGTGTAAACGAAATTGTAACAGTACAGAACAACGTGATGGAACTTAAAAACTCCATGAAGTATGGTGTTGCCAGAAAAAAGTTTGATGTTGTGATTGTACACAAAAGATTGTCTTCCTCAGTTATTGTTGCTATACCCTTCTATATTGTAACCTCCCTGTCCTGGCGAACATGTATACAAAATTATAATGAACATTATTACCTGTGGAATTGTCCCCCTCCCCCTCTTTCCTTCTGTACCCTATATAAGAAAATGTTCAATAAAAAGACAATTGAAAAAAAAAAATTGACCTATTTGCTTGTCATTAGTCATGACAAAACAAACCCTCTCTGGCCCTGCACCCTTCTCAGGGGGCCGCTGTGATTGAAAAATGCCTGGGACGAATTTGTTTATGGGCATGTCCACCCCTTTGGGTAGTGCTGGTTAAATGATTTGCATCAGTAACCCTTGTACCCCGCCCACCGATGTCCTGCTGTTAGGGGATTGAGAGATGAAAGCGAGGGATTAGAATAGGTTATGTGTTTTCTTATAGCTGAACCTTGTAAGTTTCCCTCCACCACCATCACCATCAGATATATGACGCTTGCAAAGTATGACTGTATTAGTGTTTTTTTATGTCAATGAGATAACGTAATTATGCCATTGTAATTATCAGCAACAGTCCCGATGGGCTCTTAATCCAGCCCTGCCATTACACTGTGTAACCATTTGGAATATAGTTGGATATCAGCAAACTTCTCCAAAACTCTTTCTCCCCTTGATAGGATGGGATGGGGTCTTTCTAGTGACTGAGCAGAAATTTCAACATTTAGTATACATGCCCCTACTTGTGTGGCGTAATAGGTGTGGATATATGAAAGTGAAATACAACCCTTATAGTAAAATGGGAGTATTATTCACCCCTATATTCCTTATTGTTTATTAATGTATTTATTTGTAACTATTTAATGTGGTGGCTGGCTTGTAAGTGCTGACCAGCCTCCACATAATTAACCTCTGTAAAAACACCAGTAACATTGGGAATTTGTCATCATCTTATAAATACCAGTAATACATAAATAAATGTTCAGCCTCTGACTTCTATAGGCCTTAGGGAAGAAAACATATTACAGTATATACTCGAGTATAAGTCTAGTTTTTCAGCACATTTTTTGTGCTTAAAAACCCCCACTCGACTTATACTCGAGTCACTGTCTGTATTATGGCAACTTAGAGAGCCGCGGCCGTCAGAGCCATGGCAACGATCGCGAGACTTACAGTGGAGCTGACCGGAACGGAGGAGAAGGGAGCTGACAGGAGCTGCAGGAAAGGTAAGTAAATGCTTCCTGCCGCCCCCGTTCACAGCCCATGCCACTGGACCACCAGGGATTAAGATAGCCCCCCTCCCTGTCCAGTTAACAAGCAGGGAGGGGGGACAAAAAAAAAATTAAAATAATAAAAAAATATTAAAATAAAATTTAAATTAAAATAATAAAAATGCCCTCCCCACACCTAGTTCACACACACTACACAAACACACACTCTGCATTATATACACACTCTGCATTATATACACAGAGTGTGTGTATATAATGCAGAGTGTGTGTTTGTATGAGTGTGTGTGTGTATATAATGCAGAGTGTGTGTTTGTATGAGTGTGTGTGTATATAATTATAAAAATCACAGAATTTCACAGCCCCAAGTTTTACCCTCGACTTATCCACGAGGCATAGCATATTTCACAATTGTTGGTCACAAAACTGGACTCGACTTATACATGAGATCGACTTATACACGAGTATATACGGTATATGATTCTTTAACTTCAGTTAAATATTACTTATACTATTTTCACAAAACTTTTTTTTTTCAGCTTTTTACATTTTAGAAGGCACAATAATTGCAGAACCTATTATATTTATCCTGACAGTTATTTCCGCTCTCTTTTGTTTCAATTGACTTAAATTGTGCTTCTTTTAGGAAACTAAAATGTGTTATCCTTTCAAGTTGATAAATTACCAAGACTCTTGTCAGACATCCATTTGCAGTTTGTGGTCATCACTTTTTGATGTAAATCTATCCATTGCAACCTTTCCACTTCTTTGTCTGAAGTAAGGCAGGTAATCGTGATAAATAGCAGTCTGATAAAAGTCAACAAGATTATAACACCACTTTCTGTTATGGAAAATTTTATTTTCTATTTCTAGATATCTATCAAAAAGTGATATAAAACTTTCTTTAGTCATAGAATATGTTTAAGGTGTTAGTTATTAATTGAATAATAATAATAATAATAATAATAATATATATTTTTTTATTTCAAGTTCATTTAAGTTTTCACATCATGCAAAGAAAAATAAAACTTCTCTATGAAAACACCAGCATTGTATGGAGGTTGCCATGTCTGCACCATTTGCGTGCAATTGTTCATTATTAGAAGTACTAGATTAGACAGATATAATTATGCCTGATGATCTCACAGAAGGTAGGCTAGCTGCAGAAAAATATAGTCTCAGCACTGAATCGAAATTCAGTAAATAACATTACTAGTAATAAAAATGTATACATATTTTGAATGGAACACTTTTCAAACACCATAACCACTATAGTGCACTGTAGTAGTTGTTCTGCCAGGAGTGCCCAGTCACTCACCCCCATCATAAATATTACGGAAGTTCCATCTTCTCGGTAGTGACGTGATGCGTCCATCTCTCCGGTATACCATTTTTGTGATTCAGGGGGCATTTCTACATTTGTTCAATGGTGAACAGACCTTATGAACTGAATAGTTCATAACACATTTGTAGATACATTATTTTTCTATTTTTTGTGGCTCTTTATTTCCATGTAAAACGAGCGCCATATGACGCAAAGCATTATGGACTATTTAGTTCATAAGGTCTGATCACCTTAGAATGAATTTAGAAACACCCCCCCAAACCACAGAAGTGACGTACCGGGAGATGCACGTGTCACGTCACTTCTAAGAAGACGGAACTCCAGTAATAGAGAGTCCCTATCAATGGATGAAAAATCGAAGAGGACAGGGAGTTACACTAAGTAGACAGGTGATACACCCTCATCCGATAATAAAAGGCTCCTTTTGGTTAAAAACTTTTGTGCATCCTTTTAAAAGGGACAAATTGATTGAAAAAGCTTACAGAAGGGTGAAACGTGTCTCGAGGCCAAAGGAGATCACTTCTACTAAAGTACTGTATGTTTTTATTTATAGTTTGTTGAAATAAAGTTTTTAAACTTTACAATCTATATGAACGACTCCTGGCCTACTACTTTCTATCTTTTGTGACTCAAAATGGGGATTTGCCACTCCAGGTTTGGCATAGTGCCTACAAACATGAAGCCAGCCATGTATGGGCTCCAAGTAAAGGTAAGCATACCAACCTTCACCACTTCAACATTTACTGTTACACTAGAACATCACACTAGATTGTTTTTGATTGTTTTTATTTACTTTATGAACTTGACTGAAGGAATCTCCTTAAGTTACCAGAAGAGGTTTAGCTGCCACCAAAAGGGCACAGAAGCCTTCACGTTCAGTGCCACATCATATAAAAGCTCTTAAAAGTGTGAGCATAAAACCGATAGATGCAATTCTTTATTTTGCATTATTCAGACATTATTGGATTATTTGCATTTTCTTTTTCCTTTATATGTGTTTGAGACTATCGGCTTCCCCAGTGCTATATCTAAGGGTAAGCATTCTTGGTTTGTAAATTTTTAAGTGCTGCACTAACACATTAGTGTTTTAGAGGTGGGACACCAGGGGTCAAGTCCTGGGGAAAAAGGTGTGGGAACTCACCCAAGATTCCCGCCTCCACCCCCTTAAAAAAATAAATAAATAAATAAATTACACTCCTATGCATATAGTGCAGTGCAGGGTGTGTATAATGAATGTAGTGTGTTTGTAGTGAATGCAGAGTATGAATAATAAATGTAGTGTGTTTGTAGTGAGTGCAGTGTGAATAATAATTGTAGTGTATTTGTAGTGAGTGCAGAGTGTGTATAATGAATGCAGTGTGTTTTTAGTGAGTGCAGAGTGTGTATAATGAATGTAGTGTATTTGTAGTGAGTGCAGTGTGTATAACAAATGTAGTGTATTTGTAGTGAGTGCAGTGTGTATAACAAATGTAGTGTATTTGTAGTGAGTGCAGTGTGTATAATAAATGTAGTTTGTAGTGAGTGCAGTGTGAATAATTGTAGTGTATTTGTAGTGAGTGCAGAGTGTTTATAATGAATGCAGTGTGTTTTTAGTGAGTGCAGAGTGTGTATAATGAATGTAGTGTATTTGTAGTGAGTGCAGAGTGTGTATAACAAATGTAGTGTATTTGTAGTGAGTGCAGAGTGTGTATAACAAATGTAGTGTATTTGTAGTGAGTGCAGTGTGTATAATAAATGTAATGTGTTTGTAGTGAGTGCAGTGTGTATAGTGAATGCAGTGTGTATAGTGAATGTAGTGTTTTTGTAGTGAGTGCAGAGTGTGTATAATAAATGCAGAGTGTGTATAGTGAATGTAGTGTGTTTGTAGTGAGTGCAGAGTGTGTATAGTGAATGTAGTGTGTTTGTAGTGAGTGCAGAGTGTGTACAATGAATGTAGTGTGTTTGTAGTAAGTGCAAATTGTGTATAATGAATTTAGTGTGTTTGTAGTGAGTGCAGAGTGTGTACAATGAATACAGTGTATGTAGTGTGTTTGTAGTGAATGCAGAGTGTGTATAGTGAATGTAGTGTGTAGTGAGTGCAGAATGTGTATAATGAATGCAGAGTGTGTATAGTGAATGTAGTGTGTTTGTAGTGAGTGAAGAGTGTGTATAATGAATGCAGTGTGTGCGTGTGTTGGATGATGTGTGTGTGCGCGCTGGGTGACGTGTGTGTGAGTGCTGGATGATGTGTGTGTGAGTGCTGGATGATGTGTGTGCGAGTGCTGGATGATGTGTGTGTGAGTGCTGGATGATGTGTGTGTGGGTGCTGGATGATGGGTGTGTGAGTGCTGGATGATGGGTGTGTGAGTGAGTGCTGGATGATGTGTGTGTGGGTGCTGGATGATGGGTGTGTGAGTGAGTGCTGGATGATGTGTGTGTGGGTGCTGGATGGTGTGTGTGAGTGCTGGATGGTGTGTGAGTGAGTGCTGGATGATGTGTGTGTGGGTGCTGGATGATGGGTGTGTGAGTGAGTGCTGGATGATGTGTGTGTGCGTGCTGGATGATGTGTGTGTGAGTGCTGGATGATGGGTGTGTGAGTGCTGATGATGATGTGTGTGTGAGTGCTGGATGATGTGTGTGTGTGTGCTGGGATGATGTGGGTGTGTGTGAGTGCTGATGATGTGTGTGTGGGTGTGTGTGGAGTGCTGATGATGTGTGGGCTGTGTGGAGTGCTGGATGATGTGTGAGTGCGATGATGTGTGTGAGTGCTGATGATGATGTGAGTGCTGAAGAGTGCTGGATGATGGTGTGTGTGGAGTGCTGGATGATGGGTGTGTGGAGTGCTGGATGATGGGTGTGTGAGTGCTGGATGATGTGTGTGAGTGCTGGATGATGGATGAGTGCTGATGATGTGTGTGAGTGCTGGATGATGGTGTGTGAGTGCTGGGATGATGGGATGTGTGTGAGTGCTGGATGATGGATGTGAGTGCTGGATGATGTGTGTGTGAGTGCTGGATGATGGGTGTGTGTGTGCTGGATGATGGGTGTGTGAGTGCTGGATGATGGGTGTTTGTGTGCTGGATGATGTGTGTGTGAGTGCTGGATGATGTGTGTGTGAGTGCTGGATGATGGGTGTGTGAGTGCTGGATGATGGGTGTTTGTGTGCTGGATGATGTGTGTGTGAGTGCTGGATGATGTGTGGGGGGGGGGAAGCATTTTTTTCTTACTTTATATGTTTATTTTATTCCCCCCTCCCTGCTTCTTACCTTGTCAGGGAGGGGGGAGATCGCCTGGTGGTCGGGTGGAGGGAGCCAGCCGCTGCACACAGGAGCCATCACACGCTGTGTTCCCTCTCCAGCTCTAACTCTCGCGAGGCTCGCCTGTGCGGAGCGTTGCCATGGTAACAGCCGCGGGTCTCGCGAGAGTTATAGCTGGAGAGGGAACACAGCGTGTGATGGCCCCTCTGTGCAGGTAGCAGGGCCGGTCCTGCAGGACAGGTAACGGGAACGGCGTTCCTGCTGTGGAAAAAGTGCAGGAACGCCGTTCCCATGCGTTCCTGCAGGACTCGAGCCCTGTGGGACACATCACCTAAACACCGAAGAATCCGGTTTGTTTTATTCCAAAAACAATGTCTAGGGAAAAGCAAAGGATTAACAGAGGGTTATAGGTTGGTACCCAGTTAACTATCACTGCAGTGATCCTCGGAGTCAAGTATGTTATTGAGGTGGATAACTGAAACTAAACGTTATTTAAGTTATCAAGAATCATCAGTTTAAAATCTTCAAGTCTAAGTAGAAAAAAAACTATACTTAAAAGCAGTAACTAAGGAGAGTTTATGGGGCCCTAGGGCCTGCCTGAGTCACAACTACAGCTTATTATATTTATTCTGTTGTCTATATTCAGTTCCTGTAAGATTTTTGCTGTAAACACTGTAATTTCAAAGAAAAGTCAATGTTTACATTACAGCCTAAGGGCATCTCCAGTGGCCACTCCTCACACATTCAGTGTCTCCACCCTCTGCATGGAGACACTGAACTTTCTTCATAGAGATGCATTGATTGAATGCATCTCTATGAGGAAATGCTGATTAGCCAGGGTGGCGTTATGCTCTGCCCCCAGCCTACCTCCTTGCTGAGATAATCAGAATTGACTGCTGAC